TATTCAAGTAGGAATGTTAATTTCATCTCCATTGAATTTGATACTGATGTCATTCCAATTCGGCAAATATTTCAGAGACGAATCATAACACAAAGACAGGAAAGTTTAGAGGAAACATACATAACCCACTGTCGACATACCCTCCTCTTCCTCTAGGGAAATTACGAAGATTTCAGTACCCCGCTTTTGCCCGTCTGAAATCATTATCCAAAATGAACTTAACAAAGCGTGATTGCAAAACGAGCAGAATGGGAATCAGGTGCTTCAAACTTTGTTAGAGATCCCATAATACGTCCTGTACAATACAAACACTGATCTTCCCGTATAGAATTGAGGGAAAGGTGCACCGAATAAAACAAAACACTGGAATCTCTTGAATTATTAACTGTCACTGCAGGGATGCCTCATTTCAGAAGTGAGTATTAAAGATATTAAGAACAATCGTTTTAATTAGTGATATTTCATGAGGTGAAACAATATCTGAGTATTGTGAATTTATGTAGTCTGTCAGATTCAATTTATGAAGGAATTTCTGTTCGGTATCCCTGGAATGAAGTCTTCTGGAAATGTCTTTGCTGAGTTACAAATGATATTGAATTGGAGGGTGGAGGGCTACCTCTTGAAAATCTCCGTACGTACATTGGAATTATGTTTCCTTCAAATGCAGTGCTACAGGGCTTTGAAACAACAATTTTCAATTCTCATCTAAGATCACAACTGATCTGAAAAATCCAGTACGTCATAAAATGGTCTTCTTTCAAACGGAACTGAATAAGGCTAAGTCAAACATTCATCAACCAAAAACATCTTTCGATATAAATTCTTCTTTCGTAGAGTAGTCCAAACATCTATATTGATACACGCCTGAACCGATTTGAGAAGAGGGATATCAACTGATTACCCCAGTTGGGGTAATCGAAGCAAACTTCCATCGAATGAAACATGCCGAATACTAGAATTTCCACACATTCTCCATTGACACATGTAAATCTGAAGATGGTGTAGACCTTTCTACCAGTCTCCAATTCTCTTTTCCATTTGAACTTCCCCTAGGAAGCACAGTTTTCACTGGGGACTGAAAAAATAGTACAGTACAAAGGAAAGAGCAACACCACAAAATACCAGCGTGGTTCAAACAGAACTGGCTGATATTTCAATCGCCACAAAAGGAATAACTAGGAAAGAAATTTCTGGCAAAAACATAACAATCTGCACTGAAAGTCGACAAGCCATATTAGCCTTGAACAGACAACGTGTTACCTCAGGGCTAGTACTAGAGTGAGACCAAGATTCAGCAAAAGCCTCGGTAGATAATAACATTATCCTGAGGTGGGTTAAAGAGCATGGCCGTAGTGAAGGTAATCGCATTGACGACTCTTCAACCAAGAAAGCGGCTGGAACAAAAATTTTAGGACCCAGTGACACCTACGGCCTGATGACTTTGACTAGTGCGGAACTAGCCAAACGTCACACCCATGCTCCATCACTGAAGAGATGGAATGGAATCAAAGGATGTATCCTTACCAGGATCACCCTTGGCGACCCTGGGAAGCTGGTGCGGAGAATTATCTACACTTTGGAGTAGAGTTTCTGACTGACAACTGTCAACTAAAAAAACACCTCCATAGTATGGGGCTAGTGGACACACCTCTATACTGTATGAGTGTACAGGAAGATGAAACAGTGAGGCATGTCTGATGCGAGTGTTATCGTCAATAAGAGAGTGTGTGTTCATCGGGGTTTGGCCTAAATCTGCCGATATAAAGGAGATGTCTCCTAGTGACCTGTCCACCTTCCTGGAAAGGACAGGATGGACGATGACCTAGGAGAACAACTTCCCGGGAGGATGTACAATGGGTCACATGTGGCCTAAGTGCTACACTCACTCTCCCTACTCTACAGATATAGAGAGAACATTCTGATGTTTTAGGAAAAATCTCAAACAAGTATCGAATTTTTTACAATTTTATTAAATATTCTCCATTAATTTTGTTAAAAAAATTATTCGCATTTCTGAAGTTTTCCCGAAATTCCATCAAGTTACTGAAAATAATTTTCTAGGAATGTTGCGAGAGTTCAAATTATGGCAGAATATCGCTTGCGTAGAAAGATTTCGATGTTTACAGAAAAAATATTACCAGTTGAATGGTCAGAAATTGCGGAAAAATATATTTTCTTCACATAATCGAAGAAAATGTCCATGATTAGAACAGTTGAAACTGTCAAGGTCAATTAAAACTGATGATCTACCATAGTCGACACTTGAAATAATTTTTTGGCCATTATCGAGGTGGAACTGTCAATTATGAGAAAAGTAATCTTTGACGCTCTGGTCTTTCCCTATCGAAGACAAACCTTGTTCATGCGAAGTAAGCTGTGGTGAGAAAAGATAACAATGAAAAATTCAGTTTGTGACAAAAACGTCTCTTTTGAAGTCACTCACGATGACCCATTTGATTTCCTAACTAAGGTACGAAACTTCAGAGAGTGATGATTCGTTAGGTCATTAAAAAAAGAGTTCTTGTGAACATATGTAATTAGCTGCTCCATTTCTGAGATACAGGGCGTTGAAGTTTGAAACAAAACGGTATTTATAAAATATCATGAGTATCCTTATACCAATTTGGTTTAAACTACAGTTATTTGAAGTGATCAGGCGCTCATTTAACTTTAACTAGATTGAAATTGTCAGGTCCAGAGGAGTCTTAGTGGGTACCACAGCAAACAATATTGGGAATGAAAAGTACCTACGACACTGACTTGTTGTAGTTTTATATTTAAGTTATTCAATTAAAAATACAACTTTTTCGTCGGTTGTGTTTCCTTCATAGCTAGCTTCATATTTAGCACTTTGCATATCATGAACACCTGCTTTGAAAACCAGCTGATATTATTGTCATATCAGTGAAAGTTACAGTTGTCAATTAGCAGTGATTCCATCAAGAATAATTTTGCTAACGCTGTATGGCTGGCATGCACATTTATGATTTAGCAAATGGAAATTCTGAAGATGCACGGATAATTTACCAGGATAGATACCTTAACTGAGTAATTTCATGTGTGGAGACATTCAGAACACTGTATGCGAGATTATGTAAAACCAGGAGTTTCAATGCAAATGCAGGTGGTGGAAGACCAGAAACTAACAACGCCAGAACTAGAAGAAGCTTTACTTGATGCGATTGAAGAAAATCCTTCAAATAGTACCAGAAAGATTGAACTGCAGCTGAGAGTCTGCCTAAATTCGTATGGAAAAGAAAAGAAACCTCTCATACCCATATCACATTCAGCGCTCAGGCTGTACTGCCTCGGAATTTTCACCCAATATTATTGTTTTGCAGGTGTCTGATTCATACGATGCCACACAATAATAATTTTCCGCCAAATATTTCATTTACGGATGAACCAAATTTTTCACATTACCATTTTTGGGCCGATGAAAATCCCCACGTTATTAGAGAAAGTCATTTTCAGCACAAATTTCGCTGAACGTTTGACTAGGCCCATTTTTTCTACCAGCAAGATCAACAGGTGAATCCTGAATGGACTTTTTGTGGAATCGTTTATCCATTTTGTTAGATGAAGTGCAGCTACTCATGAAAGGAAACATGTGGTTAATGCACGACGGAGCTTAAGCTTATTTCAGTGTTCTTGCTCGTCAGCATCAAGACATAACCTACCCCAATCGCTGTATTGGAGTTGCAGGACCAAAAAATTGATAAGCTCGAAGTTCTGATATGAATCCTCTAGACTATTATTTATAGGGTCACGTGAAAGTTCTTGTTTATGAAACTCCTATACTAGATGTGAATGACTTGAGGAATCAAATATTTGACAATTGAAATATCATAAGGAGTACTCCAGGTATTTTTGAACATGTCAGACAATCAATGACAAATCGATTGCAGTCTTGTACTTTATCAGAAGATGGTCATTTTGCTCAATAACTTCAAGGTCGAAATTGTTTATAATTTACTTTTGGTTTTAATTTTATGTTATCCATGGATGGTTTTAAGAAGGACTAAAAGGAAAAAAAATGTACTTTTAGTTGTTGATTCTAAAAAAACATTAAACTACAAAAAAGTCTAGGCGTTGGTGCCCACTGAGACGCCACTGGTTCTAATAATTTCAATCTAATCAGGGCTAAATAAGGGCCTTACTGCTTCAAATAATGAATTCAAACCACATCGGTGTAAGAATATTAATGATATTTTATAAATACCGTCTTCTTTTTAACTCCAATGCTCTGAAACTCCGCACATATTTATGTTCATAGGAACTTTTTTTCTTAAAATGCTCTAACGAATCACCCTCTGAAGTTTTGTACCGTAGTTAGGAAGCACCTTGCATATTGTTTAAAGAAGGGTTAGTTGGATAATAAGATCCTTTCTTTTTTTGTCATTGTTNTCGAAACACGTGTCAAGGTGTAAAAATAACGATTTGGTGTTGGGAAAAAACTCCGGTAATATTCATGAATCTAATGTGTCTGATGTTTTCAAAATAGTTTCATTTTCAACACGAATAAACTCATTTTTGAGCCCTGAGGAGGAATTTATTAGAATTCGAAACGTTGGCAAGATAACAATTGCTTTTTTCAAGAAAAATAATTCTTGTTACCTATGTAATCCTTATTCAAAAATATTGGATCACTAAACCAGCCATTTGGTATACATTATAACCTTAATCTGTCAATTGAATCGAAAAATAACTTTGATGAAATACCAATCATCTAGTGGTCAACTCCCCTTATTTTGAAAATATTCCTTTGAAATAACTTCTTGTCCAAAATCGTATTTTCCTAAATATCCAACTCCACCCTCTACAACCTATCCGCCATTTCCGTCGACCGCCAACCCTGCCGTTAACCACAAAAGTATTTTTCATCGTAATTGCTGTGGAAAGCAAATAAAAGTCCCGCTCACTTATACTTGATCAAAATGTGTAAACGAAGTACTTCATGAATTCCAGTTGGAGAATCGAGTGGCCTGCGCCTGACAAGCATGAACGCCCCTCTCGTAGCGGACCTACGCGAGGACATGGACCTGGACTGCCACTTTGACATGGGCACCGAGGAATTGTATGCCGTCAAGTGGTACAAGGACGACCACGAGTTCTTCAGGTGAGTGCCTTTGGAGAATGTCTGCAACTGAATATCGATTCGGTTGATACGGGGTTGCTATATGTTCTGAATATGTTCAATCGTTTTCGTGTTAGGAATCACACGTTAAAAGGTAAGACCTTGTTAGTCCTTAGCTCGCACAAGTTTCTCAACTTCTGAGAGTTCTCGTTCGAATGGGGGCGATAGCTGATTAACGGAAACACAGGTTTTAAACAGATTTTTTTAAACAGATATCAAAATTTATGGGGATGTGTACTTTATTAAATGTTCGCGTGAAAGTCTTCCAGAAACATGATGTTTCAATCATGAAAAATATTTTTATTGAAATGTTACTTTTAGCACCGCTACACTCCAATTATTGTAATGAGCTGATGTTAGCTTCATTTTCGACTCTCGTAGAGTCATCCATAAAATAAAACTGAACGAGCTCAAGAAGAATACTTCCTCTCTTCGCATTTTCTCTGAATGACAGCATGAATGACAAAACATTTTCTGACGATTCGAAACGAATATCATAATAGCTGGTTTTTCTTTGTTGATTTTAGGTACATGCCGCGCAGAAAACCAAACACGATGTTATTTCCGGTAGCAGGCGTGCATTTAGCCTCCGCTGGGACGGATTGTAGTCAAACTCGCTGCAAAATTAAGCTCCAAAACCTCTCTAGGGCCCACAGCGGAGGAGCATACCGGTGCGAAATTTCCAGCGAAGCTCCAGCATTTCGTCTGGCCTCGGAAACGCATAATGTAACAGTTGCCGGTAAGTTTTTCATTTCTAAGATAGAGGCTGCAGTAATGAAAAGCAGATGCTCTGAAGAAAACTTTCGCACATGACCGTATTAAAATTCAAATATGAAAATGATGTTTACAATATATTTCTTGATATTTTCAATTCTCATCGTGAAATTAAAATCATCAAAATTGAAGAAAGTTCTAGACCATAGTTCACTAATAAATTGTGACAGTTGATGAATATCAGAAATAGATTTTTCGGTAAGCAAAATATTGACCCCTATAATTTATATTTCTGGAAGAGTAATATAATTATAGAAATAAATTAATTGAAAATTCGATCAACGAAGAAAATCAAGACAACTGAAATGGAAACGCGTGTCAAAAGAATATAATATCTTCTATATGTCACATTCGATAGTCTACAAGAATATATACATGGTGGGGCACCCCATACGACATGATCCCTGGGAGCCAAACCAATCTTTAAATATTTTTTAAGACAACACAAGCACTTCAGGAAAATCCTTAAGGGGCTTTAAGAGCGGTGTCTGTGTGAAATAGTGAATCATAGTGGATTTGAATCACTGGAGATTATATCAATTTGGAAAAACGTTCTCAGAAGGTTTATTGCATATAAACGCAGTTTTCCGCAGAATAGTTGAGTTCGAGGTGTACTGAGCTGAACCTCAAAATAATGAGCAGCCACAGGCCGTATTTCTGATATGTACCGCTCTTGGTGGAATTAAATGTGCCAAGTCACTTGAACACTTCCCTTTAAAGTATCTATAGATTGAGTTTGCGGAAGGAAATTATTTTGGAATCTACAGGGTGGCTTAAAAAGTGTGACATAGCTTAGTTTTATTTTTTTAATGACACACCCTCTATTTCGTTACACTTTTGAATAGGTTAGGTAAAAAAGAATGATTTCATATGGAGTACTATGTACCTAACTATAACCAAGTTATTTTTTCAATGAAAATGCTAGGTACAATTGAAAACTGAATAACATCGAAATCTAAGGAAATCATGTCTTAGAATTCTGATCAAGCATAAAAGATGTTATTAAGTATTGATTTCGATAAAACTCATTTCCCAATATTATACAGGTGTTGAAAATTCATTGTATTTTTTTTATAATTTCGTAAAGCGATAACTCTGTTATTTCAAATAGAACACCCTGTATTTTTTTGGTCTGAACAACATAAAATTCAATTATTTTTCATTTCATTTCGGTGTTCTCTATAACTAACCCAAATAGTTTTTCAGATATTGGCTTCTTCAAATAGTAGTTCTCATTTCAGTCATCCGAAACGACATTATTACAACATGTTGAAAGAATTCTTATAAAAAATGACAATGATTCGTGAACAGTCTGTATGATATTGAGAAACAAGTGTCATCGATGTCAATAGCTCAAAATTCCTTTTATGCTTGCTCAGAATTAGAAGGGATGATGATTTCTATACACTTCAATGTTATTTAGTTTCCAATTGTACCTAGTATTTTCATAAAAAAAACGACAATTCGAGAACGATTACAGTTGGGTGCACAGTACTTTTCATGAAGTTATATTATTTTTTCATGACCTATCTGAAAGAGTAACGAAATACAGAGTGTTTCATTGAAGAAAACACAACTTTGATATGTCACACCTTTTTAAGCCACTAAGTAGACTCACAAGTAATTTTCTTCTACAGCTCAAACCGATGTGCATATAATTAAAACAAAAATATGGTTTGTTTCACAGGGACCCTATCGTATGGGATTCCCACCCTGTAAATGGACTGTTCTCCAAGTATTCAGTTAAGCTCCGTTTTTCGGTTTTCAACAGACCTTCTTGAAATACATTTGGTACATGCTAGATATATGCGGCTTCTTTGAGATTTCCTATTTTTTCGTGAGGTAGTTCCACTTCATTTCATTTCCTGATCATCAGTTGAATTGAAAATGTGCTCTGCTATTCACGATCCCGTTAGCTATCTTATTTCCATATATTCAGGATGTTCATTTTTCTTACACCAAGGGATCTTAAAGTTTTACCTATATAACTTTTTCCAGGCTCTTTCGTTTTTTTCAACCTATTCTTGAGTTTTGTTTGTGCCAGGAGAGATCTCACTGCATTGATAGTTCGAAAATTTCATTATATCATAACTGTAAACAATTTGTCGTAATTTTCCGGTCAAACCGATAACATGAAATATAACATTAGTTGTCATATATATTTGTTTTTATTTGGTTCGTGATGATTTTGTTGAAAGTACCTATCGAGTGGTCCAACGAAAAGTATGCACCTTGCTTTTCTCCTTTTTTTGTAACTTAACGCAAAAATGCTTGGACAGGTCAATTTTGCTTTTGGTGGGGACACATTTTAGATGTATTTTTCTACCTGTGCCTTCTACCCCTAGCGAGGGTGAGTAACAACCCTAAAATTTTAAATGGAAAGTGGGGTCGAGTGATTTATCATTTGAAAGGGCACAAAATTATCTTTCCAATGATACCTGATTTGTTGTATTTACTTGAATAGTTATAATAAAAGCAAGAAAATTCACTCGATATTTTTGGTGTTAATGAAAATGCGCAAAAAACGGCATTTTTATCACTACTACAGTCCTCAATTTCTCTCGTGCGTTTTTTGGTTTGGTTGGTACAAAAAACATTTAGGCAAACGTTCATTAATTCACTTCGGTTGCTTTTGAAATTATTTCAGCTTTACTGTAAAAATGGTTTATTCCATTCCTGAACGAATTGAAATTGTTAAACTTTATTATCAACATAATAGTTATGCTAGACTTACTGCTCGCCTCTTTAAAAAATATCGAGTAAATGTTCTTGCTTTTTTTATAACTATTCAAGTAAATACAACAAATTAGGTATCATTGGAAAGAGAATTTTATGCCCTTTCAAATGATATATCACTCGACCCCACTTTCCATTTAAAATTTTAAGGTTGTTACTCACCCTCGCTAGGGGGTTGAAGGCACAGGTAGAAAAATACATCTAAAATGTATCCCCCTCAAAAGCAAAATTGACCTGCCCGAGCATTTTTGCGTTAAGTTACAAAAAAAAAGAGAAAAGCAAGGTGCATACTTTTCGTTGGACCACTCTGTATATGTGTGTCACTGTTTCTATCAATTTCACTGAGAGCTTTTTCTACATTTCGTTCCGCATATCCGTTTTTCTCCTGAATATTTTCATCAATACTATTAATAATGGTTGCCTCTCCCAACTTACGAACTAATTTACAAACTGTATCAGCCTAGTTTTTTCAAACTAACGTAACGATGTGATTTGTAGTGAAAATATCTATGCCCTTTCACGTACTCGGTCATTCAGAAATGGGCCTCACCGAAGAAGATGATTTTTCGAAGAAAATCAGGGTCATATGCCAACTGCCTCAGAGTCCAATCAGTGAATACATGTCGTTGTCTATGGTCGTGTACCTACAGTTTCTGGGTCAGTTGAATTTTGTATGAGTGCAGACCCAAGTCACGACGCAAAATTCGCCAAGTTGTGGTCTGCGAACGGCCGAGTTCTTGTCAGCGGCGCGAAATCAACTGCCTCGGATTCTCCTGCAGACTCTCACAGACAGCGACGATGTTTTCGGCAGATCTTGCGTTTCATCGACATACAGGTGTTGGTCGATCGTTTACTGAACCAGTGGACTCAAATTTATCCACCAAATTGCGGACAGTCCTCTCGATAGGACGATTATGGCGACCGTAAAATCAGCGAATCGTGCGGTACGTTGCCCGAACAAAACAGCCATTTTGATGAAAACAATTCATTATCTGAACGTGTTGTTGCTATATCCGCCCATGGTGATTTGGCAAAATACACTGAATAAGTGACAACTTATTTGACAGATATTGCTTCAACAAAATGGCCGTTATCAATTTCAAAGTTTGGAAGTCCCTGTTAGAAGACCCTTCATTTGTATGTTTTTTTTTCGATAAACATCATATCAAAAGTGTTTGTCAATTTTTTCATCATCTTTTCAAGAAAAGGAAGTTGATTATGCACTTTCCTTTCTGATGTGGATTTCGTCGCGGTTTCTTTTGTGTTCAAATCAATCTAAAAAGAGTTGATGTCATCTAATGAGAACTTTTCAGTAACACTCCATTCTATCAATTTGGCTATGCTTATTTTTCAAATCGTATTAGGTTAATAACCCAAAAAATAGCGATGAAAATCATGAGGCAATCATTATAAAATGCAGTGTATTGAATTTTCGTATGAATTATATCTTCAATTCCCATGTGGAATCAATAATGAATTATATTTCGGTGTCAAATATAAGTTCCAATTTATTTCCACCCTATGAGAACATTATGTACACTAAAATGTCGATCCACTCAGGTGTATGGGAGTGGCCTCTGAAAATAACTTGAATTATCTTGTGAATATCGAATTCTATTATATTGGCAATTCTGTCAATGATGAGGAGTATTGTTCTGGAATGGTGAACTGTTAACTCCAACCATATGAAGATATACCGATTGACATGCTTTTTGGTTATACAGGAACGTCACTGATAACCCTGTGATCTTTTTTCTATGAGAGATTCATCAGAGAGATTCACTAATTGTATTTTTAAGGAAGACAGTTTCGAAAGATATCTTGAATCTCCACGATTCAATTCTCCACAAGGGTTGAATGTTACCCAGAATCGTGGATTGAACGTAAGGAACAGTGCGTTTTAATCTTCCTCTTGAAGATGATCACTTGGTAATCGAAACACGTGTCGAAGTGTTGAATAGAAATAGATCCCCATTGCTACACCAAAGGTTCCAAACAGTGCATCAAAGTACATTTGATAAGGTTTATTTCCCATGAAGTAACCCGTAAAGCAGTGTTTCTCAAAGTGTGCGCCGCGACTCCCTGGGGCTCCATGGAACCTTTACTGGGGCGCCGTGGGTCACGGGTGAGTCTCAAGGTACAACGTTTCACAGCATAGATAACTAAGAGTAAAGGTAATACGTTGGTACCTATTAATGAAAATCCTCTGATAATATGATAATATCGGCAATTGCAAAATGCAATCCGTTCAGATAGACACCTACCTACTTTTAATAATTAAATATCTAGTGTAGTCTTTACGTTCGGGGCGTCGCGATAACCTTCAAAAAACATAAGGGAGCCATGAATTCGAAAAGTTTAAGAAACACTGCCCCAAAGATAATTACAATATTTTATATGATGAAATTGGCCGATACTTGATGATACTAGATAAGGAGTATTGAAGCTGACCAATAGCTCTTGCCCAAAACTGTATATTGGCCAAACAGGTAAAACATCTTCTCAAAGAATTAAAGAGCATAGTAGTAGTTTTGTAAATAGAAAGGCAAATTCTATATTTCCAAGTCATCTTCAAAGAGAAGGACATGAGTTCAATCTTGATTACGGCGTGTTACATTTAGAAGAGAAGAGTTTGAAACTCAGTTTTCTAGAATGTTTAGAAATCAATAGATTCGAAAATTTGGGTAAGTTACTGAATGATCTATTAGAATTGAATAACTTTCCGTCACTAAATATTTTTTCGAATGTGGAAACTGAGACATGAGCTCAAGTAATTCAATTCATTACAAACTTAGGCAAAACTCATGTACCTGAAATGTAGGTAATCCAAATTGTAAAATTAGGTATATTGAGCATTGAATATGTAGAATATAGTAAGTGAAGACACGCCCGAAAAAGCCATTGTATGACGAAACAGGTGTTGCGGTTTTGTAAAAGTGATTAGTGGAAATGTAACAATAAAGTGGATATTTTGAATTAGTTAACATTATTTTGAAAAATCGATGGTATTCGACAGAATAGCTTGGAAATGAAAAAGTTTCAACCGATCTTGCATTTTGAACTGTAGCGAATCACCTGTCTCTTCTGCTACCCTACAACTGTTGAAACTTGGATAAAATAATACTATAAAATAACCGTCACCATCGACAAAGCATCCATATTTGATGTAATAATTCTCTGAATATATTTCAATATACATTAGCATTGTTTATGTTATTAATTAAACAATATCAAAAAGGTAATTTCAATTGATAGTGATGCAGATATATAGTTCAAAATCGATGTGTATATGCAAATACGCAATAAAGCTTATCTTTGTTATTGTTGAGTATATACTAGCCTGTATTCGATTTGAACATACAAGTCCATCAAGTTTTTCCCAGTTCGGTATAGTGAGTTAATCAATATAATGTTAATTTGTTTCAATCAGCGTTTCAAAAATGCAATATTTCTCATATTTGAAACATCACTTCAGTTTAAATCTGAACAAGATTGAAACACTACACTAAACGTTAACCCATATACGCTGCCTGTTCAAAACATGTGGAATTTTAATTTTTCTTATATGTATCAATTCACCGATGTCTATTTTGTCCTCGAAGCAGTTCTGATATGCATTTTTTGGTATATCCTTGAGCTCTCTTAGTAATTAGGTTTCAATCTCCTCAATCGTCGCAAAACGCCGTCCTTCTATGGGTCTCCTCGATACTGGGAGAACAGATAAGTCGCATGGGGTCAAACCTGGTGAATATGCTGGCTGAGGCATGATTACGTTGTTGTTTTTGGCAAAAATATCACGAACAAGCAATGGCGAGTGAGCAGGTGCATGCAAACACCATGATTTGATTTTGGTCGTGGCTCTCTCGGGCTTTTCTATTAAGAAGATTGGACTTTGGTTCTGATGTCATAACCATATACCTCAATCTGGATCACCGTTAATGTTATTCAACAATTTCTGAGCGATGCTCATGTGACGGTTTTTTTTTGGTCAAAATTCAGCAATTTTGGAACGAACTTCGCTGGCACACGCTTCATGTCAAATATATCCATAAAACTTCCATGTCATTTTTCAACCGATATGCCGATATCAGCAGTATGAAGATAAATTTTGTTGTATAGGATTTGTTCAAACAATTTTGCTGGTGTGCATAACTTTTATGGAAATTCCCGTATTATCATTGACATGCTTTTGATAAAGTTGATCATTGAGATATGTCTACCCTCTATATCCCTTGAGGACGCCGCTAACGAGCCATTGAAATAGGGATTTGCGACAAAGAACGCGAAAACACCGACAAAGGATGCCAAAATACTGCCAAAAGAACCGCTTCATGTCTTTTCTGATATTACGTTTAAGATAATATTATTAGGCTTCGGACTGGGGGTATTAATGTAATTTTCCATTCATATATTCTATATNTCTGAAAGAAATAATCTCATTAGCTATACTAATGTTCAAAGATGCCTGCAATTCTTCTCTGATTCTATCATTACAAAAAAGTAGATTCAAGAGGAAAAGCTTTCATTTGTAACCACTCAGTAATATCTGCTTTCTTCCAACACGACGTAGTGTTTCAAGTGTTTTTAAGCACTCAATTTAATTTTTCACACAAAATTTGATGCTAATTCTTTGATCCATTTTTTTCGATAGCAAAAATTGCCAAACACGCAAAACACTTTCAACTTTCATATCTCTCACGAACAATCCAATTATGTGAAACATCTGAAACTATGAACATATATTCGAGAGGACTGTATCAACATAAAACATGAAAATATCGCTGATATCCGCGAAATATCCGCGAAATTTCAATATTCTCCTCTTTTTTTGAACAGTCTCTCTGCCTAATTTCAAATTTTTTCAATGATATTGGAAAGGGAACCCAACGACATGTCAAGTGTTTTCATTGTCAGTAATAATCAAGTTTTCTCTAAAAGCTTCCGAATAATTAAAAAATCATTCCCAACGTTCCCGGCTATCGATTTTCCACTGAAATCACTAATTCAAGGGTGTGAAAATTCAACCCTTCTTCGGAATACGGACCCACATAATGAAAGAAAACGCAAAAACAAAGCCTCCGTTGAATTATCTGGAACGGACAAAGGACTGAGATGAATTGGTTTCTTGGAATTACTTGGGAATAATTTAGCAGGAAAAATTCAACATTCTCCTTTTTTGACCGCTTCCAACGCAATTTATAAGTGTCTTGATATTCTCAATATCGTTATGAATTATTATGAATGACAATTATCAAAGAGAAACCACATAATTGCATGAATGAATATAAAGTAAAGTTATATATCAACAATAATCAAACGATAAACTCAAACGATAATGATTTTCAAAATCAAATTCTGGGATCACTGGAAAAATTGAAAAGACAAATTATTTCAGAAAACCGGTGTCTACAATTTTCTTGTAGAGTAATTTCTCAATATTCACTTCACAAAGATACCAAAACGGTATTCTTCACTAATTACACGAGTTTTTTCCGGAACCACTTGAATGTGACGAGGGGGTTTTGAAAAGTTTCCGACCTATAGTTCGGAAATTTGTCATCAACTTGAATTTAAAAAATTTTGCATATTGAAAGGAATATGTATCATCTGATGACACTTTAAAGGCTCCATCTATTTTCCTTATCCAACCTATTTGAATCAAAACATTATAATTTGT